ACCTTATCGTTTTGTAAACAGTCTTGTAAAATCTGTATTGATCTTCTCTATCAATATATATTTTAAATTCGAAAATACTGTGTTTGTATTCATCCCCCCCTTCTATAAACTGTTTCTAATCTTGTAGACCCTTACGGGACCAACAAGTGGTACCAGAGCAGTGTTTTCTTTCTTTCCTTGTGTTTAGCTAATTTTCTGTATTAATTTATCTTTTCTTAGATAACTTATTGCATACAAATGGCTTTACAAATCACAAACACACACAGAGGATAATGGCTCTCTTGCCAAACCACCCCGGTTTGTCCGTGCCAATTTTAGTCTCTAGAAGAACCGAATGTCCCTCTTTCTGGAAGGTGTGGATCCTGAAATTCCACATTACATAGAAAATGGACCATATATTCCATTTGCTATTGTTCTGGCTGTTCCAGCAACAACTACGACTGCCGCGATTCCTGAATGGCAGATTCCAAAGCTTCCACATCAGTGGAGTGATGAGGACAAGAAGAAGATAGCTATAGACACGCATGTTTGGTCTATAATAGCTATGTCTCTTCCTGATGGGATTTATCACTCAGTGATGAAACTCAAAACTTATAAATCCGTATGGGATACTCTTTATGTCTAATATGAAGGAACCACTCAGGTTCAGGAGACTAGAAAGATCAATTTAGTAAGACAATATGAAAGATTTCTCTATGGAAAGTCTGAGACACTGTCTGAAGTACATCAAAGATTTAATTGCCTTCTTATTGATCTAAGGGCTTTCGACAGGGAATATTCTAATTCTGAAACCTTGACTAAGTTTCTAGAATGCCTTCCCGAGTCTTGGGATACCTTTTCCATGTGTCTCAAGATATCAAATGACATGTCCACTTTTTCTCTTTCTACCTTATACGGGATTCTGCTTAACCATGAGCAATCTCGTCAACTGAAAAGAAATCTTGTAAAAGATTCCAGGGAAATGAAAAGCTCTCCTTTAGCTTTGATCTCTGAAGCTTCTTCAGTTGAAACTTCTACTCCTTTTGTTTCTTCTCTACCTCCCGTGGTCATCACGGAGATAGGTTCTTCTGAGGACATTCTTGAATCTGATTTAACAGATTTTGATAAGTCCCTGGCACTCATGACTAAGTCATTTAGGAGGTTCGCCAGCAAAAGCAATTTCTGCAGATCTTCTCAACTATCCTTCAGGGAGAAGCCAAAGTCTGAAAGAATAGACAAGGCTTCAGCTGTCTGTTACAACTATCACCGGCCCGAACATTTTGCAGGTGAATGCAGATCGAAGAAGACTGCGATGCCATCTTCTAAAGCCCCTTCTTCCTTCAGGACCAAAGATGATTAATACTTAAAACTAAAGGAGAAATACAAGAAGATGAAGAACAACCAGTGTAAGGCTAAAGGTCTTATTGCTGAAGAGCATGACTGGGCTGAATCATCTGAATCATCCTCTGACGAAGAGGATAAAGCTTATGTTTGCTTGATGGATATTGATGCTGACGAAGGATCTTTTACATCATCTACCTCTTATGAGCCATCTTTTGTTACTCAGGTATGTATCCTGAATGAACCCTCTTCTAGTCTTTCTGCACTAGATACGCTGACGGTTGACCTTTACAATGCCCTCAATGGAAAATCAAAAGCTTAAGTGCTTAACGTTGATCTTCATGAGCAATTAAAGATTTGTCATTCTA